GGGCGCTCCGGTCAGGCTGAGGACAGCCCAGTGCCGCTCCCTCGCAGGCCCCGCCCCCTGGGGACCCCAGGCGCAGGAGCAGAAACTCCGGTTCGGCCTCTCCCTGCCACCTACAGCGGTGCTGGGCGTCTTCCCTGCAGGTGCCAGGACCCTGTGGTGCTCAGGCCCCCGGGCTGCCAACACGTGTCCCGGCACACTAGGCGTGTGTCCGCAGGCGTGAGGGGAGTTCACGAGGAGGCAGCTGTCTGGGCCCCGGGAGCCGCGCCCCGCTCACCACTGTGTCTTGGCCCTTGCTCCTGAGGAGGCATTTCAGGTGCTTCTTCAGGGTCTCCTTCTCTCCCTGCAGATCCAAGATCTCTTCGTCCTTCTTCTGGACCTGAGCCTCCAGCTGGGCCAGGCGCTGCACCTCCGCCTCCAGTAAGGCCAGGCTGTGGTCCTGCAGGACAGGACGGCCCTGTGCCCCAGCCCGCACGCTGCCAGACACCGCCCACAGGACCACAGCCCCGGCCGGGCGCTTCCGAGGGGCCCTCCCGCGCAGCCACACCCTGCCGCAGCAGGCAGAGACCTGTGCCCTGGGGGGCCCCCAGCCGGCTCCTCGCCAGCCCCCGACTGTAAGTGTGGACACCCACCTTCTAGGTCACCCCGCTTAACCAGCTTAAGTCAGCCTCTGCCTCCCCCCGATTTCCACCCTCCAAGTCTCCATGCCCTCGGTTCTTCATACGTGGAGACACAGTAAGGATCGTTTCAGGCAAACAAATGAAAGATTTTTTTTTTTAATCAGCAGCTCTGAGTCAGAGAAATTCAAAAAGGAATTCTGAAGACAGGAGAGGTACAATTCCAGACTGAACCCTGGAAGAAAAGATGACTCGAAGGTCTTCAAAGCGCCTGGAAAGTGCGTGCTATGCTTCTGTGTAGTCCGTGAGTCAAAGAAAGTAAGGGGATATTTTACTCTGAATGGCAGTGAACACTGGACATACCAAAACTTGCGGGGCGCAGCTAAAGCTGTGAATTGGGGCGTATGTGTAACCTTGAACGGGCCTGTTAGGGGAACACGCACAATTGAGAGTCTGAGCAGTCGCGCCTGGCTTCAGACTCAGCACGCAGGGCCTCGGCGGGGAGGCGGGAGTGAGGGACACGGGCTGGGGGCTGGGAGGGGACGGCAGCCGGCACGCAACGTGACGCGTGGGGAGTCAAGGGCACCCCGACTTAGAATGACCACGCAGGGGTCACATCTTCACACCGGCCGGGGGTGGCAACCAGACGGGGGCCTGGGAGGGGCCGTCCCTCCCCTGGGCTACACCGTTGCCCTGGAGGAGTCTCACCGTGGAGTATTTCCTGGGGCCGTTCAAAGTCAGTGAAGGAGGGGGGGCGGGAGAGAGAGGGAGCCCCAGGGAGGGGAGACCCAGGACAGCCTGGGGCTGCTGGGGCAGCCGGCGCCACTATCTGCTTGGCCAAGGAGAACAGCCCCGCCTCGCCTGGGACTCCGCAGCGTGGCCCGCAGCCCCTTCCCCAAAGTGGCCGCTTGCTCCAAAGAGCCAGCGTGCTGGGTGCGGAATTGTAAACGAGAGCAGAAGGGTTTGGGGAGCGGGATGAAATGGCCGCCCCGTGACCAGCACCCCACCGCCCCGCGGCCACCCAGGCCACCCAACGCCCCAGTTACTTATTTCCTTAAGCTTCCCCGCTTCGAGCAAACCAAGAGAAGCTGATTCAAGAAGAGACGTTTACATCGCTAAACCTCCAGCGACACCCGCGGAGGGAACACGGGCGCCCAGGCGGCGGGGGGCGGGGGGCGGCCCCGGAGGGCCCGGGCCGAGCCAGCCTCCCCACGGGGGCAGTGGCTGGATACGGCCCTGAAACGGGCACACCGAGAAGCAACGTAAGTCGCCCAGACGCCAGGGGACAGGTCCGCCGGGCGGGGCGGCTGCAGACCCGAGAGGGGCGCGGCCCGTGCC